TTTAGAAATGATGAGATAGTTAAACCTCAAGAATTGATGTTTAAATTTTGAGTCATAAACTAAAAGCCAGGGCAAATATATCAACACAACATATTTGAAAACGAGAAATATAAAGGTTAGTTTTTAATATAAATTATTATCTAGTAGATAATAATATCTACAAATAATACTATTTATGTAAATTAAGGCAAGCTTTTATCAATAAACAACTCTTGAAATATAAATGCTTAATTGGTGGTGTGCAAAGACCTTTTGCTTAAAACAATTGTGCTAAATTTCAGTCTTTGAATATATTGTCAACTTATGATACAATATTAAATTTAAAAGTATACATCAATTCAAACATCTCTATAAATATTTATGTCTTATCTCTATAAATCTTACATCCATCCCTGCATGGAACACTTTTGCCATATCTTAATCAGATCTTCCAGTAATGGCCTTTCTCTTTTAGACAAGGTACAAAAAGGAATTGTTTTGCACCTTGACCTTTGCAGCCAACCTCCAACCATTAGAATATTATCATGTTGCTTCTCTTTTTATTTTTTATAAATACAATTATGGACACTGCTCTAAAGAGCTAGCGTCTCTTGTATCATCTACTAAAACTCACTATTGTGTTACTCATCATTCAATAAAGGCTAATCCTTTAATATGACTGTTCCTAAGCGCCCAAAAAGTTCTAATCTGTTTTTTCGCGAAACTTTTTTTTCACTTGCTTCAGAAGTAAACTTAAATTAGATTCATATAGAGCCAGCAGTCATTTTCGTTTTAAAAACTATTTTATCTAGTTTAAAAATAACATAACAGTATACTGAACATTAAGTAAATAAGATGATTAAGGCTATTACAAACCAATCTGTAGACAAAATTATAAAATATTTGTGCTAAGTAATACAAATGTAGAAATAAAAACTTTACTATACTGAGCTCACAAACAATTCATATCATAAATATTTACAAATCATGTAATTAAAACATAAAAAGTAAATAAGTTTCTCACCAATCAATCATCACCATTGAAACTTTTTAAACTAATTAGCAAATTAGTCTTTTTCACAATTAATGACTGAATTTTTAATTTTACATGCAAACAATCCAAAAAACATTACGCAGAATAATTTTTGGGATATTGGCATGTTTTTATATTTCAATAAAATGTAGAACTGCCTATAAAAAATCTTTTAGGCATCAACCAAGAAGATTTACACAGTTATTAATTAAATCATACTCTTAAATTGTTCTTAAAAAAAAAAAAAAAACACATTACAAAATAAGAAAGTAGTTAAAAATAAAATAATCTTCTACTACCTCTTGTAAAATGAACTATAAATAATTTTGACAAAAATGTTGCTGAAATTCAACAGGTGGGAAAAAAAAGGACACTGTACAGCTTTCTGTTTACAGAACAAATCAAATCAAAACAACATCATAAAAAATTGTAGCAAAATAAAATACCTTAAAGTTGAAACAACATATTCCAAGTGTAACAACATCGATCAAGATAATGCCATACATAATGGTCACAATATAAGTATCTTTATTATAGAGACTTATATTGTGATTTTTGTAAAAATAGACTATAAGTCAAATTTCAGGCAAATGCACCATATAAAAGCCATTTTTGTCATATAAATAATGTCATTAAGTCATATTTAAATACAACATATAAAAGTCATTTTTGACACAGGCTTTAACTTAAAAGCTTAAAGTTTAAGCTATAATTCATATTTCTAAAGTGAATGTCTGATAACAATTATTAAAATTATTTTAAACACAAATATTAAAATACTCACTTTGCCTTGCAGATAATTAAACAGTAAATATAACTGGCCGATATGCTGGCACATAAAAGAGAACCACTTCTAACTAACTTTTTTATGCGAAAACAACTAATTTTCCCTATTATAATTGGTATACACACTTAACTTTTACGCTTTGTTTTGGAGCAAAATTTTAAACAATTCAATTTTGCCCTACTCAATTTTCTATAAAGTATAAACTTTTAAAATTTATAATAAACTTCATGAACTTATTTCTGAAATTGACTCACTTCAATTGTAACAACTTTAAGATGACATAATTCAATGAAAAAGAATAATAGGTTAACTCATATATATTTATATAAAAATAATAATGTTACCAATGTTATTAAAATGTTATTATGATGTTACCAATGTTATTAAGATGTTATTAAATCTTAATAACATCTTAATTTAAGGTTGTGTTTAGATCATATCCCATTCGGAACGATTAATTTTTACTTGCGTATTTTGCCGAACAACATTTAAAAAAATTTGCGGAGCAATATTAATAACAACACAACACACGTGCCATATATTATTGTTTGTTACTTAAAATTGCTTTATTACGTGGTCTTTATTTTGTTAACTTTATTGATTTTACAGTGGGTTATTGTATTAATTCATGGATGTAATAGTTCTTAAAGGTTAGTGTTTCTTTCATATACATAATTCTTAACAATATAATAACAATAGTTATATATATATATATATATATATATATATATATATATATATATATATATATATATATATATATATATATATATATATATATATATATATATATAT